TTCGAAATAATGGTACCCCAGTTGGACTACAGTTACTGGGTGCAGTTCGAGGAAGATTTCAGTCTAAAAGCAAAATTTTTATGTATTGTTGAAATGTGTCTGATACTGTATTCAATAGTCGCAGACTGCGACTGGACGAAGATACGGTGAATGACTTGAAAAAGTGAAAGGAGATGCCTTTCGAGCTGAATATGCTAGTTTTTCAGAAGGAGATGCCTTATAACGATCCAGAAGTTCGAGAAATCGAAAATGCTGCAGCTTTGGGGATTGCTACTGCGCGCGGTCTGGCCAATGTTGTTTCTACGATTTGGCGAGTAAGCTAAATCATGTAATCATAGCATTAAAAAATCCGGCAGAAATTGGTTAAATGCATGTTCGTGTATTTTTCTTAAGGATTAACCGTCTTGATTCCGCATGAAACTTTGAATAGCTGTCATATGCTTCTAGCTTGGATTTATGTTAAACCGCAAAACAGTGCCATGGCCATCGTACGAATTATACTGGGTTGCTGCGCTGCCATACAAACGAATAATAATTAGTAACAGCGGAGTAATTATAATAGCAATAATGATGGTAGAATTAATTACTTTTATATTATAAGGGCCTATGCGGTGTGCCACTGTGGCGGGTGCACACATCAAACTAGTAAACAATGCTTTATTTAAAACAATATAAAAAGTTCACAAGACGAGAAAATCCCGGTAGCAGCTCCAAGCTGCCGCCGAACGGCTTGAAAGACAAAGAAACAATACAAAGTTTATTTTTAGTCACCACATTAAATATTACGGAGGAGGAACTCGAGTCAGAAGACGGGGCATTCGAAGAGCAACTGGGCAAGGCGAAGGGGTTTAGCCATCAACTTTGTTTTCCTGCTGCTAGCACCTTTTGCAACATAAGTGCACTAATTGCACTGATAATAAATACTGATAGCAATAGTAGTGTAAACTGTTGTTTTTGTTGAAGCCGTTCCAGTAGCTCAGGTTGCTTACAGATTCATCTTCCTCCTCATACTCCTTCGTTCTACAACTTCTCTCAGTTGACTGGTTTTCAGATTGGCCGGCCTAGATCGCGCTAAGTGTATGCAGTTTTTGGAAATTATGGCGCGTTTTCATACTAGAGGAGCATTAAACTTAGCTTTTCAGAGAAATCTGATAAGCGATGAAGTTTGGACGCAATTGCGCGATCCGGTTGAGCGAGGTGACGACAAGGTAACTGGTTATGGATGGCATCGTGGTCACGGTTTCTTCTATCATCCACATCCGACCAGAAAAAATGTTCGTTAGGATTATTTTTATACGTTTTTGCATACGACAAAAATGCATTAAACCTGTATATTTGTTTGAATTTATTTATTGCCATACATTTTTATCGTTGAACTGCGAAATCCAAGTAGCAGATAATTTGAAACAAAGCTCGAAACTGTATGCAGTAAGACTTAATTTAGTACTTGGCCTGCTTTCCATCGAATTGGTTCAAGCAAAATTCAGAGCCGAACCAGAAAAGTAGCAAGATTAGAACTGAGAAAGTAAAACCTCAAGCCGTGCGTGAGATCATAAATCACTATCCGTACCCCTCCCCTTTTCGAGTCTTAAATTCTGGCTTAGTATTCAAATATTGGCTGATTTTATAATCAGTAAACAAACAAAGCAATGAACTCGTGATTTTGGAATTTAATTTACTGCATAATGCATATCAAATTTTTTAAAACTCATCCAAATTAACAGCGTACTGGACAATGTGTAGTGTTGCTGTAAAGTAGCTAACAAAGTGCCTGTGATCGGAAGCTTACCACAGGAAGGAAATTCAAAAAGAAAAAAAAAAAAAAAAAAAAAAAAAAAAAAAAAAAAAAAA